CAACCAAATGCAAGTATCTCTGGACATCACAAACTACTCTAAACCTTGTTGATGGGTTGCCATTGTTACCTTTCGAAATTCGGAATAGTCCCCAACAAAAACTTAAAGGATATGATGCGCTGCTTCGTGACCGTTTTAATTGTAAAAGTCTGGTGGTAATTGAACTGTTTGGTCTTTTTGTCCTAAATGTCCCTACTTCAGTTTGTCTACAGAATCTTAAAATCCTATGTCTTACGTTTATAAAATTTTTGGATGAGGACTTAAAATCCTACTTCAGTTTGTCTGCAGAATCTTAAAATCCTTATAAACACGACAATGATAATTAGGATCCACCTTAGGATATGCCTTCTTGTTTGTTGTTTCATCTCAAGGCAATCGAAATCAAAATATTTGATGGATTTGAAGAAGGGCTGAAAATAGCAGAGTATTTTTTAAAGAATTGTAAAGTTTTGAAGAAATTGACGATTCACATTACTATGAATCCAGAAAAGTCATAGCAAGAAATTTTTGACGTTATCCAGGGGTTCACAAAGTTGTCAAGTAGTGATTTCTTGATCTCTCTCATTGTGAAAAATTCCTTCGGTCACCTTGCTAGTTCTCTCTCTCTCTCTCTCTCTCTATATATATATATATATATATATATATATATATATATATATATATATATATGTTGCAAGGAAACTGTTGATGGAACCGTCCCTTGCCAAATACAACGGAAGGTCATATGGTTGTGTAATTTACCTAGTTTTGATTGCTTGTGTTTTCCTATCAAGATCATGTTTGTGACAGAGCTTTTCACATGTTAATGATACTTCTTCGGGCTCAAATCCCCTGCTGTGAGTTACCCTGCAGTCCCCTGTTGTGAGCTGATGAAAGGCCTTAGTTTGGCCACGTGTGTTTCAGTTTGTCTCCACTAAAATGGTGCAAAACGCATTATTCCGTTAAATCTGCCTTCTGTTAAACATCCATCTCTCGGCATTTCTGAAAAAGCCCAAAAGAGCCGGCTCTACAAATTAATTGAGCCGTCTCCAAAAATTTGGGTTGAGCCGTCTCCACATTTCTTCTTGAGCCGGCTGTCCATTATTTTTTTTTTCTTTTATTTTTATTTTTTTTTGCTTGGCAAGGAGCCGGCTCTAAAAATTCTGAGAGCCGGCTCCATATTTATTATGAGCCGGCTCCATATTTATTATGAGCCGGCTGCCAACTCAAAGAGCCGGCTCAACAACTTAGAGCCGGCTCCATTGAACTTCAAAAGCCGGCTCCATTAAATCCCAAGAGCTGTTAAATTTAGGTGTGAAATTAGTTTGGCAAAGGTGTGAAATTAGTTTGTTAGAACTGTGTGAATAACTTATTTTGATGGTGAAGGTGATCAGTGTCCCTACTTATTAAACTTCACAATGTATTTTTTCTCATAAATATGACATAATAACATGTGAAATGTGTAATTGCCGCATACATGAGAAGACAAAATATTTGGATAACACATTGGTATCTAATGAAGCCAACTCAGTTAAAAAAAAAACAATTATGGAAGATTTTACATTCACTAGAATGGTTTTTGAAGATTATAGAAGAAAATCTTACAATTAACCAAGATTTCAAATACGCTAGAATGCTTAACTAATGTCAATTTCAAGTAAAAAAAATCATAATTTACACTAACGGATGACAAATGAAAGAATTAAAAAATGTTAAATTTAGGTGTGAAATTAGTTTTGCAGAGGTGTGAAATTAGTTTTACAGAACTGTGTGAATAGCTTATTTTGATGGTGAAGGTGATCAGTGTCCCTACTTATTAAACTTCACAATGTATTTTTTCTCATAAATATGACATAATAACATGTGAAATGTGTAATTGCCGCATATATGAGAAGACAAAATATTTGGATAATACATTGGTATCTAATGAAGCCAACTCAGTTAAAAAAAAAACAATTATGGAAGATTTTACATTCACTAGAATGGTTATTGAAGATTATAGAAGAAAATCTTACAATTAACCAAGATTTCAAATACACTAGAATGCTTAACTAATGTCAATTTCAAGTAAAAAAAATCATAATTTACACTAACGGATGACAAATGAAAGAATTTAAAAATGTTAAATTTAGGTGTGAAATTAGTTTTGCAGAGGTGTGAAATTAGTTTTACAGAACTGTGTGAATAGCTTATTTTGATGGTGAAGGTGATCAGTATCCCTACTTATTAAACTTCACAATGTATTTTTTCTCATAAATGTGACATAATAACCTGTGAAATGTGTAATTACCGCATACATGAGAAGACAAAATATTTGGATAATACATTGGTATCTAATGAAACCAACTCAGTTAAAAAAAAAAAAAAATTATGGAAGATTTTACATTCACTAGAATGGTTATTGAAGATTATAGAAGAAAATCTTACAATTAACCAAGATTTCAAATACGCTAGAATGCTTAACTAATGTCAATTTCAAGAAAAAAAAATTCATAATTTACACTAACGGATGACAAATGAAAGAATTAAAAAATGTTAAATTTAGGTGTCAAATTAGTTTTGCAGAACTGTGTAAATAGTTTATTTTGATGGTGAAGGTGATCAGTGTCCCTACTTGTTAAACTTCACAATGTATTTTTTTTCAGAAATGTGACATAATAACCTGTGAAATGTGTAATTGCCGCATACATGAGAAGACAAAATATTTGGATAACACATTGGTACCTAATGAAGCCAACTCAGTTAAAAAAAAAAACAATTATGCAAGATTTTATATTCACTAGAATGGTTATTGAAGATTATAGAAGAAAATTCTATAATTATCGAAGATTTTAAATACGCTACAATGCTTAACCAATGTCAATTTCAAGTAAAAAAAAAAAAAAAATCATAATTTACACTAACAGATGACAAATGAAAGAATTAAAAAATGTTAAATTTAGGTGTGAAATTAGTTTTGCAGATGTGTGAAATTAGTTTTTACAGAACTGTGTGAATAGCTTATTTTGATGGTGAATGTGATCAGTGTCCTTACTTATTAAACTTCACAATATTTTTTTCTTCATAAATATTACATAATAACCTGTGAAATGCGTAATTGCCGCATACTGAGAAGACAAAATATTTGGATAACACATCGGTACCTAATGAAGTCAACTCAGTTAAAAAAAAAAATTATGGAAGATTTTACATTCACTAGAATGGTTATTGAAGATTATAGAAGAAAATCCTACAATTATCCAATATTTCAAATACACTATATTGCTTAATCAATGTCAATTTCAAGTAAATAAATATTATAATTTACACTAACGGATGACAAATGAAAGAATTAAAAAATGTTAAATTTAGGTGTGAAATTAGTTTTGCAGAGGTGTGAAATTAGTTTTGTAGAACTGTATGAATAGCTTATTTTGATGGTGAAGGTGATCAGTGTCCCTACTTATTAAACTTCACAATGTATTTTTTCTCAGAAATGTGACATAATAACCTGTGAAATGTGTAATTGTCGCATACATGAGAAGACAAAATATTTGGATAACACATTGGTACGTAATGAAACCAACTCAGTTAAAAAAAAAAAAAAAACAATTACGGAAAATTTTACATTCACTAGAATGGTTATTGAAGATTATTGAAGAAAATCTTACAATTACGCTAGATTTCAAATACGCTAGAATGCTTAACCAATGTCAATTTCAAGTAAAAAAAAATCATAATTTACACTAACGGATGACAAATGAAAGAATTAAAAAATGTTAAATTTAGGTGTGATATTAGTTTTGTAGAGGTGTGAAATTAGTTTAGTAGAACTGTGTAAATAGCTTATTTTGATGGTGAAGGTAATCAGTGTCCCTACTTATTAAACTTCACAATGTATTTTTTCTCATAAATGTCACATAATAACCTGCAAAATGTGTAATTGCCGCATACATGAGAAGAAAAAATATTTGGATAATAAACTGGTACCTAATGAAGCCAACTCAGTTAAAAAAAAAAAACAATTATGTAAGATTTTACATTCACTAGAATGGTTATTGAAGATTATAGAAAAAAAATCCTACAATTATCCAACATTTCAAATATGTTAGAATGCTTAACCAATGTCAATTTCAAGTAGAAAAATATCATAATTTACATTAACAAATGACAAATGAAAGTTTTACAGAGGTGTGAAATTAGTTTTACAGAACTGTGTCAATAGCTTATTTTGATGGTGAAGGTGATCAGAGTTCCTTTGATCAGAATTTTTATGGTGAAGGTGATCAGAGTTCCTTTGATCAGAATTTTTAGAGCCGGCTCCTTGCCAAGCAAAATAAAATAAAAATAAAAGAAAAAAAAAATAATGGACAGACGGCTCAAGAAGAAATGTGGAGACGGCTCAACCCAATTTTTTGGAGACGGCTCAATTAATTTGTAAAGCCGGCTCTTTTGGGCTTTTTCAGAGATGCCGAGAGATGAATGTTTAACGGAAGACAAATTTAACGGAATAATACGTTTTGCACCATTTTAGTGGAACCCACAGACATATTACAAACTGAAGCACACGTGGCCAAACTAAGGTCTTTCATCAGTTCACAGCAGGGGATTGCAGGGTAACTCACAGTAAGAGATTTGAGCCCTACTTCTTCCTCATCTTTTAATGTATAAAAGTTTTTTTTATATATTTTTTTTTATTTTTATATTTTTTTTTTATGTATAGTTCATTTTAATCCAATGATCCTGAGAAAGCCTATAAAGATAGTAGGTTAGGCAGCCTAACAATGCTAGTTAGGCAGCCTAACATTGACCAAGACTTGGTCTACTTTTTCAACAATGAGTCTGTTTAGAAAAATATTTTTTTATTTTTCTAGTACTTGGTTATCATAAAAAAATATTTTACGCTGAAAGTGGACGGTGCGAACGGTGAGATTTAAGTTCTCACGGCTCGAGGGATGTTCGAGTTCGAGTTTCTTTAAATTTAAATGGGTGCTCAAAAAAAAAAAAAAAAACAGTCAATTACAGTGGGAAGAGAGAAGGGATTACACAACAGTTGAAGGAGCTATATTAATTTCATTTTTTCAACGTCTCCTTCATACACATATATCAAACCCCAACAACCACAAAAGCAGCAGACTCAGGCACAAGTACTACACAAAGACACCATTAAAGTAGTAGCCACAGGCCATTCTAAGAATCCAAGTAGTAGTGGATTAAGAGAAGGCCATGGCTGTCTTATTCTACTGTAAACAATTATTTATATTAAACCATAGCTACTTTTTTTGAGGCTTGAGGAGTTCAATTGTGATCAACAAGTACAAGGGTCACAGGTGCATTTATCACCACACTTGCAGGTATGCCCTCCTTCTGCTCCAAAGCTCATCTCAGATCCCTCCGCATACCTACACCGGTATAATCGCAGCCGATCAATTATTATTATTATTTTTCTTTAATATATGTGCATATATATATATATATATATATGGATCATAATCTTTTTATTCATAAAGTTGTATCTGCATGCATGATTAATTGTCAATGAGATACTTACGTATTCTTTGGTGCAACACCAGTGATTATGGTTGCAGTACTTGTGGTCTTCGTCTCCAAGTCAGGATACATTTTTCCACATCTGCCAATCAATAAATGGGAAAAATTCAGAAGATGTATAGAATATATATAATATGTACAAATTTATAAGGATCTATAATTATATGTGTGTGAATATATATATAACCATGTAATTATGTATGTTTATATGTGTATGTATATATACTTTATTGAATAGCAATTCCATATCCATATCTCCACGGGATCTCATTTGCTAAAAAAAAACATATCAATATTAGATATATAATATAAGACTATAGAAAACATCTACGTTTATGGATTGGAAAAGATTTATGCTATGTCCGGTGGCATAAATCTTAAAGTTGGAAATGAAATTTTAAACTAATTTTTCTTTAATTCTAATATCAAAACATAAATTCTATAGAACAGAACATAATTGTTAAAAATAAATAAATAAAAAGTGTGAAGAAGATATTAATTGATTGTAGGGAGAAAGAGAATATACTTGCAATCGGCTCCACATGAGCACCCAGAGCCACAGTTACAACCGCTAGACATTTTCAAGAGATTAAGAAGAAAATTAAGGATTGATTTTTGTGGAAGTTGGATTTTACTAAAAACACTTTACGGGATGATTTTCAACGTTAGAGACCTCACTCCTATTTATAATGTAGGTGAGGATAGAAGTTGTGCCCATCCCACCGTACACGTGTTGGAATCCCACGTTTGCATTTATTATTTAAACCTATATTATTTTGAATAATTATTTGTTGTCCAAGTCTCGACGGCAGAAAAGAAGAGGGATGGGATTCCACCACCATTGTGTAATAAATGGTGAGGCCCACATAACAAATATATATATATATATTTTGCCTTTCATTTTCAGCATAATAATTTAATATGGTAGAAAATAAAATTTGTTTAGCCTTTTAATGGCACCATAAGTATGAGTCACAAGGTTGTTTTTATTTTAAGGTTTGAAGAAATTATGAAAGATTCGGGGGGATTGAGTATTTAATTTCAATGAAATATTATTTTAATTTATTTTTATAAGATTGAGATCGGTATCATTAAATCATATCAAATAATAAGAAATATTTTATAATCTCCTCACTCTCAAAAAATATATATTAAGAAAATAATTAATTAATTAATTAATTAAATTAATTCTTGGTATCCATCGAAAGGCAACTTTCAAACAAGACGAAATTTAGAAGTTAACTATGTTTTGAAGGTGACTTTGGAAGCAGATAAAATTTAAAATGTGAGATAATGTTGTTTTCAGAAAAATATACAAGTCTACATCATCATTTAATTTTTTACTCCAAAGTCCCATCCATCATCACCTACTTCACAGAACAGTTCCATACAATTAAAGCCACGTAGGCATGAAACATGATGCTGATCATCAATTTTGACATTCTCACGTGGGTGCCTTGGAGAGTAGTTTGAAACTGTCAATGACTTCATATATATATATATATAAACACATATAAATAAACAACATTTACTATGACATTAAAGCCATTTCTTATCAATATATATTAGAAAGTTTAGTGATGGTATGCAGAAATTAATCACCGTGCACCCAATTGAGTTTCAAAAATCTTTGAAATATTGTTACTTGTTAGTACGGTTGCAATTGTCTAATCTCATTTATTTCACGAGATTATGACAAAAATGATAATTAGTTAGAGAGTTCGGCCAAAGTATTTTTCTTATTTAATCACCGTGATTAACAAATTAAGAAGTATAACAAGGATGTTTTTGGCTCCTTTCTGGACAAAGCTTTGGAGATAGTCAACTTTCACCCAACTATTGAATGAATAAAAAAAAAAATTATAAATAAATTTCTTTACAAGTTCCTCTTGAACGTCAGTTATAGCAACACATTGGTTATATTAATGCAGTAGAATTATGGCATTATGTTTGAAAAAGATATGTATATATATTATATATATATATATATATAGCAATCAAAGTGATATAGATGTGATGATTAATGATGGGATTCCCCATGTAATAGAATTCCTTCAATTATGGCCATTTTTTAATGCGAAAAGAATGGTCTTCGCCGTTTGCTCTTGATTCCTCCTCACTTGCATTGTCATCTTTTAAATACACAACCATTTTTTTATTTATTGTTTCATAAGTTGATCGACACATTTTAAAGTCACCAAAACCACCTTTTCTTCCCCTTCATCCGTTTTTGCTTTAAGAATTCAAAAGAGATAGAAAGTGAGCACCCTATTTGTCCAATACACAAGACCTACATCATATTCGTGTGTACTTGAGAAAGACACAAATACAATGCATCCATTTAGAAAAATGAAGATATATCCCTATTAAAAAAAAATGAAAATATTATGAGAATTACTTAGAAGAGATAAGATAAATAACTAAGGCTATGAAAGGAAGATTAAGTATAGTGTCTATAAATGAAAAAAAAAATTTATAGAAAGTATGGTCATATTCCGCGTAAGCCCAATATTGCACCTATAAATAGAGAAAGATCGAATTGATTGTGTAGAAGGTAAGTGATAACGAGACAAAAATGTAGGATGAAGTAATTAAAAACGACTTAAAAAACTTGAATTTAATTAGAGGACATGGTGTATAATGAGAAGGAATAGAACAAAATGATTCATGAAGCCAACTGGCCCGTTTTCATGGGATAAAGGAAACGATGACGAGGAGGAGGAGGATGATACATATGTGTGTGTGTGGTATCTTCATGTCTTATAAAACGCGTCACTATGTGGGTGACATTTCACATCATTGAGGGAGAGGTTATTGAAACTTATATGTGTGATCGCTTCGTAAATGTGTAGATACGTTTTGAAAATTCCGAGCACAAAGCAAAGCAAAAAATATTTACAAAGCGGGGTGGATCGTGACAAATATATGTTACAACCTGCCCGCACTGATTGTATAGTCTTTAAGGAGAGAGGTTATTGACACTTATATGTGTGGATACCTCCTAACTATACAGATATGAGCATGAAAAGTGTTCAAAATAAAAAATATCAAATTGGTCTATGTTTTCACCACCCAAAAAAAAAATATATATATATATACAGTGAACCCAGCCTAAGCAAATCACTGCTTGGGGGCCATCCAACTGTATGCCTCATGTAGGATAAGTGTTAGATGGGTTTCTCCTACTATCCGAATGGAAAGGACTAAATACGCAAGTATGTTTTTTTTTGGATCCGACCTCCTTACAAATGATATCTAAGTGAGACTCCGCCCTTAATCTAATATCACATCAACCAGTCACCAAAATAGAGTCTATGTCCAGATCATTAATAGGCCCTCCAGTCATTAGGGGGTGACGGGTTACAAGGTAGTCCAAACAACGTGGATGTATAAGGGTGAATATATAACGTTGTTCAACAATTTACACTTTTGATGGCCCATTAGAATAATACACTAAAATGTGGGCTAAAATAGCCATGGTTAGTAACCATCATCACTTCTAAAAGTAGTTTGTTTGTTTGTTTTTTTTTTTTCTTTGTTTTTTTCTTTTTTCAAGAGTGGGTAATGGCTAACATAATATTAAAGTCAAAAAGTCTCCAGTTAAAATTTTAATACCACCCTGATAATGTTACGGAGGCAATGCCCCCACTGTTTTTTTCTTTTTTTTTTTTTTTTTTTTTAATCATTATATACTACTAATTTTTCTATATTTCAATTATATATCTGTAAAATATTTATGTTACCCCCCTGAAATAAAAACATACAAGTGTGTCACCTTAACTAATTAAAAGTTTAAACTCAGTATAACATATAATTGTGAACAAAAACTAAGATTCTTCCTAACTTCACCATATTTATTTACTCATGAAAAGGATAAGCGATTGAAATTTTGCAAGTATAGAGCCATAAATCTAATCAAATGTATCCATTTGGACTTAGGGTGTTGGTAGAAAAAGAAGAGGAAGTTTTTTATAAAAAATTATGATATATTGGAGGTAATAATTGAATCCTTGTCCTCACTATTCTCCAGCACCTTTAATCTTTATATTAAAACTATTTTGACCACTGACGTTAACATATGGTGTCAAATCTGAAATCTATTTCGTGTGAGTAATAAAAATTTTTAAATCTATGCAATGTTAAAAGATCCTTAAGGCTACATGTAATGATATGCGAAGTTGTTTGTTAAATTTATTGAGTACTGAGAAAGTGAAGTCTTCCAAGATCGAGTGGATTAACTGGAGTAGTAGAATATGCACTACTGCAAAACAGATTGAGGATTTTAGGTCTAAACATCTTCATGCTTTCAACTTGGCTTCACTATCAAACCTAGCATAGAAGCTTGAATTTGAGAATGGCTCCCTTTTTGCTAAAATCTTCTAACAAATGTACTTTAATAACTGTGATTTCCTCATGTACTTGTATATATATGCTATGTTTGGCGGCACCGAATCAGTGTCTTGAATTTGTGATTTGCAAAAATTTAGTACAAATTTTGAATTAAATTTCATCCGATTCCAAATCCAAAGCACTGACATAATAGTAGTAAAAGTGCCTCGCCTTCAAGCTACAAAAGAGGTGACAAGGAATTGGGCTGAAGTGGACCTATATTAATTTCATTCTTGTTGTACAATCCAGCTTCTCCTTAATACAGATATCAAAACCCCAATACCCACAAAGCAGACTGAGATACAACTACTACACTAATAAAGTAGCCACAAGACACATTAAGAGAAGCCCATGGCTGTCTTATTCTACTGTAAAAACTTACGACACAAAGTCACAATTATTTTATATTAAGCCACAGCTGCTTTTTTTGAGGTCAGGGTCCAATTTTGATCAACAGTTGCAGCTGTTACCACACTTGCATGGGTTACAGGTGCAGCTTTTACCACACTTGCAGGCATGCCCTCCTTCTGCTCCAAAGCTCATCTCAGATCCCTCCGCATACCTACAACAGTAATCAATTATTATTATTAATTGTTTTATGTCCATATAAAATTGTATATATTATGAGGGCGAGTCATTGGCGCAATGAAAAGGTTGCACCATTTTGATCCAGAGATCATGGTTTCAAAACAAATAAACAGTGTCTAAGCATGTAGAAATAAGATTGAGTACATCCTCAGACTTTACAATAACAAGAGTCTCGTGCACTAGACGAGCTCTCTATGTGTGTGTTGTCCTTCTGTATGTATATATATATATATATAACAGATCATAATTTTTTTATTCATAAAGTTTTATTTGCATGCATGAATTTTCAATGAGATACTTACGTTTTGTTTGGTGCAACACCAGTGACGATGGTTGCATGAGCTGCGGTCTGGACCTCCAAGTCAGGATACATTCCACATCTGCCAATCAACCCATGGGAAAAATAAAACAAATAAATAAATAAAAAGTTCAGAAAATATGTATAATATGTACAAAATTATAAGCATCTTTAACTTTTTATGTATGTGTGTGTGTGTGTGTGTGTGTGTGTGTGTGAATATAACAAAAAGAAAATGCATTATATGCAAGTTGAAAGAAAATGAGAAATTGTCTTGACTGAGAGAAGAATATAAATAACCACCATACATGGGAAGAAAATATATTTACTGGGAAAAAAATGTGAAGAAAATATTAATTGGTTGTTTGGGAGAGGAGAAAATTAACGTACTTGCAACCGCTGCCACACTTGCAGTCAGAGCCACACCCACAGTTTGCTCCGCAGCTAGACATTTTCTAGAGGTTAAGAGAGAGAATTAAGGACGGGAAAGGATTGATTTCAGTGGAAATTGGATTACTCAAAACACTTGTAGGATGATTTTCACCAGAAGAGACCTCACTCCTATTTATAATGTAGGTGAGCAGAGAAGTTATGCTCATCCCACCGTACACGTGTTGAAATCCTATTTTATTTTCTCTCATAAATATATTATAAAATAAATAAAAAATCCTACATTAGTTTTTTCAATTTTACATAATTATTTGTTATGCAAAGTCCAATATTGGTATGTGGGCTCCACCATGATGCAGTGTTGGTAAGGCCCACCTTAGGAATAATTTTTTTCTAACTTCTCTCGGTAGAAGATTGAGATGTGTCTCATAAATCAGTTAATTTTTTTCCTTTAAGTTAATTTCACCAACACCGATGTGGTTAAATATTACATTAAAATATTTTTTTATTGTTATTATAACTCACATTATATATAATTGATTCGTTTTTCATTCACATTCTAAAAGTTATTTTTTAAATATGTCAGATAATTTTTTACATGTAAAAAAAATATTATTATCCTTTTGACTCTATAATGATTTAAAAAAATAATAATTAAAATAACTTGGATACCCTTTGTAAGTATAAATAAGATCACAATTAGTTATTGCTTGCTTTATATGCGTGTGAGCCTTGCCTTGGTGGAAAAATGTTAAAAGTACGTAGACTATGGAATATTGTTTTACATTAATAGATATTCATTATATATAATTGACTCTCAAATGCTATCTTTTATTTTTTGAAGCTGATGTGAAATTGTTGATGTAATTCTAATTACAGATCACTAAAGCAAATGTTCTTGTGCTTTTTTTTTTTTTTCCCCATAATTTGACTTACACACTGTTTTTCCTCTAATAAACTCGGTTCCTGAAAATATCTCCATTCATTTGTGAAATGCTGATTCCTTAATTCTGAAAATTTGTGTCCATAAAAATGAGAGTCAGTACCAACTATCAAGTAAAATGAAATAAGAAAAAATAAATAAACAGCAAAAATTAAATGAAAATTTCATAAAAGCAAGGAATTATTCAAACAATATCCCACAAAAAAAAAAAAAAAAAAAAAAAAACTAACAATTAAGAAAACTACAATGAAATGATAGATTATGAGCTAGGTATGCTTCAAGCACATAAAGAAAAGAATTAACTTTCTCTTCCTCCTAATTTTTACTGAATTCCTTTTTTCCCTCAAACTGATTAAATTTAGTAAAACTCAAACATATACTGGAGTATATATTAAGACGGTGGAATTGGGGTGTTGGTCAGCAAAGTGAGAGAAAGAGGATTGGGTAGGTGAGAGAAATTGATGATGGCAATTCTGACCTTTTAAATTGCAAAATTTTGAAATAAAAGTTATAAAAAAAATTAGGCTTACATTTGTCTTTAGCACGTTTTTAAAGGTGTCAGTGACGAAAAGATAAAATTGGACTTAAATAAAAGTAATTTTTCGAAAGGTATATCAATATAATATTTGACTAAATCTGAAGGAGTGTCAGTGAAATTAACACTTTTTTCTTTTTATAAAAACACTAAAAAACCAAAGAGTTGAATTAAAATGCTAATTTTGTGAAATGATTAAAATAATTTTGTTACATTATGAAGGCAAAATTTTCAAAATTTATTTTAAATACTTGTAACCGAGTTAAAAGGTTTGTTCGATTTGTAACTCTGAAAACAGTTTTTAAAATTTAGAAAATAAAAAACTGTTTTCAAATAACTATAAAGGACGGTTTTTTGAAAACAACCATTTTTATAATTGAGAAAACTGAACCAAACAATTTTCTTTTTTTTTTTTTTTTTTTTTTTTTCTTGTGTATAATTTTCTATTTTTATAACACCAATACAGAGCCACATAGGCATGAAACATGCTGCTACACAGCCAGGACCATCAATTTTGACTTTCCCATGTGAATGTGTGTGTGTGTGTGTGTGTATAAACAACATTTACTATGAGATTAAAGTCATTTTGCTCAATATATTAGCAAAAAGTTGCATATATATATATATATATATATATATATATATATATAATATAAGAAACTTTAATGATTGTATTTAGAATTATTTCGCTTTTATATGAATCGCACTCAATTGAGTGTCTTTGTTTTTTTTTTTTAAAATATTAATAATCATATTTTAAATCACATAATTCTTTTAAACAAGTAGGGTTATTATGTTTTGCGTTCTTCCGCTCTAACTTAAGTCCTACCATGAATAGTACGTGCCAATTAAAAAGTAGATCCACCAAAATACTCCTGTTGTTTAATGATCATGACTAGCGACCTATATATTGACAATAACGTTTTGCTGTTTTCATGATAGATCTTATGGACAAAGTCAACATAATAATATTTTACAAATAAAATTCTATACAAGTCCCTACTGTACATCACGTTACACAACATTGTTTATAATTAATGCAATGCAAATAATGGCATGGTGTTTGAAAACGAGGGAGAGAGAGAGAGAATCAAAGTTGCGTTTGATTTGGTGATTGATAATGGGGTTCTCCATATAATGGGATTCCTTTGTGGTGTTTTATCAAATGCGAAAAGAATGGTGTTGGCCGTTTGCTCTTTTGATTCCTCACTCTCTTTAATCAACACATTCCAGGTCACTAACAACACCTTTCCTTCCCTTTCATCCATTTTGCTTGAAGAATTCAACATATATTATATATATATATATATATATATATATATAGCTAGAGAGAGAGAGGGAGGTGAGTACCCTCTGGTTCAATACACAAGACCTACTTTAATGTTCCTATGTATCATAAATATTAATACATAATGTGGGTCCTCAATGGCCTCTATCCTCCTAATGTGGAGCATGTTTTTGATGTGATTAAAAGAGGAAATATTCTCTTCAAGAGTGCTTTCATCTTTTTGCTTTCTCTGTGTATCGTTCACCATTTTATTTGTAAAGTTTTTCAATTTTGTCAACTTTTCTTTCAATTCATCAATCTTTTGTCTCAAATATTAACTGTTGGGGATTTTGAGTATTTTTATACAATCTTAATTTTAAGTCTATTTACGTAATCATATCAAAATGCACTTTAACTAAAACACTTCTATATTCATATCACAATGTAATTATATCACAATATATATAGTATAAATAAAACAATATACTAAAATAATGGGCTAGTAAAATAACAACAAATACATATTAAAGTAATAGAGAGGAAGAAATGTCTGCCCTGTTTAATAGAGAGGCACACAATATTATGCTTTTCTAAAGCCTTTCTAGCCTCCCTACGTGTAGGTTGTGACGACTATGAAAGGCTCCAAGATACAACTCCGATATCTTCTATGCGCACGTTGACAGAAGAATATTTACCAAGTCTTATAGTGTCATGTTGCTCCCAAAAACTCGAAGATAAGAATATAATATAATATATGGGTTGTAGGAAGAAAATAAAGAAGGGACGTATAAGGATATAAGGTCATCATCAATTACTTTATTGAAGAGACCATATATGTATAGGCTACCTCATGCCTCTAGCCAATAGACACAACTCTTGTCAGAAACACATTTTTCATATTTACTCACACCACTTTAATTTAACTGTAAAATGAAGTTTTAAAAACTTTATATAGTAAAAATCTAACATAAACTCCATTTTTCATCATTTCATGTTGCTTATGCAATAATTTATATCGTTTATGCAAGAACTTTACATTGTTTATGCAACAATCATATTAATCGTTATTATGAGATTGTTGCACTACGATACAGTGTGTTACACTAGTGATAAAGAACCAGGTTCCATTCGAATCCCTTAGATATAACCCAAAAAAAAGATAAAAAGTGAAGAAGAAATCCTGGCCCAGCCCAAACAGAACACCACTATGACCCATCCAACTATATGGCCCCCAAAGGATTAGGTACAAAAATGTGGACTCTGGTAGCCATGGTTCCAAGCTCCAAAGACAAAGAAAAATGTTAATCACCATCAACTCTAAAACTTCTCTTAGAATGATTAAGATCATATGAGAGTTAAAAAGTCACGAATTAAAACTTCAATGTCACCCTCACGATTTAGATTAAAAATATATATACACACACATATACGCAGGCATGTTAAAGGATATCAATATTAAAGTTACAGCTTCACTAAAAGTTTATACTTACCATAGCATGTAATTGTTAACAAAATTATGTAAGGCTCCAAGATACAACTCCAGTGTCTTCTATGCGCACGTTTACAGAAGAATATTTATCAAGTCTTGTAGTGCCATGTTGCCCCCAAAAACTCGAAGATAAGAATATAATATAATATATGGGTTGTAGGAAGAAAATAAAGAAGTGACGTATAAGGATATAAGATCATCATCAATTACATCCAAAACCATCACGTGAAGCGTCACAATAAATCACATAACCCAAGCCACGCTCAGGTATCACCAACACTGGAGTTGTAGTCAATCTTGTCTTCAACTCTTGAAAAGATGTCTCACAGGTTTCATTCCAGACAAATTTGATCCCTTTCCGAGTCAAACGGGTCATAGGGGCTGCCAAACGAGAGAAATCTTTCACAAATCTCCGATAGAAACCCGCCAAACCAAGGAAACTCTGGATCTCAAAAACATTCTTGGGTCGCTCCCAATTCAAAACTGCTTCAACCTTTGATGGATCTACTGACACTCCACCTTCTGAAATAACATGCCCCAAAATTTTCACCTCCTGTAGCCAAAACTCACATTTCTCATATTTGGCATACAATCGATGCTCCTGCAAAATCTGTAAAACAATACTCAAATGGACTTCGTGCTCCTCCCGAGATCGTGAATACAAGAGAATGTTATCCACGAAAACTACCACAAACTGGTCCAAGTAATCATGAAAGACGCGATTCATTAAGTCCATGAATGCCGCTGGCGCATTAGTCAAACCAAAAAGTATAACAAGGAACTCATAGTGTCCATACCGTATATGGAACGCTGTCTTTGGGATATCCTCATCCCTAACCCGTAACTGATAGTAGCCTGACTTTAAGTCAATCTTTGAAAAACAATTGGCTCCTCTCAACTGATCA